AAAAAAAAAAAGAAGTGTGACATTGTAAATAAAGTTGCTACATGTGTATTGTGTATCGAGGTCAATTAAGTTCAATTAAGTATTGGAGTAAAAAATGCTCTGGTACCATTGTAACAACCAAGTTTACCCGCTGTAGTGTGATATCGTCCGCTTTACTCACCTTCACGGTTTTGCCTTTGGGAGCTAGCTCACCAAAACGCGTCACACTAGTGAAGGTATCTACAGCTACTTATAAGGCATGCTTCGTTCTTCTTCACAATCGATGTGGGATATCTGGATCCACTCTCTTGGGGCCCAGCGTCCTTGTTACCGGTCCGAGTACTGGCTCTGATACCTACCAAAAAAAAAAGGTATTGGAGTAAAAAATGCTTATAGCGATATACAATAGTAAAAAATGCATAAGTAGATATAATATAAGCAACGTTGGGATTGCCTTTAGAGCACCCACAATGCTTTGGGTCTTTTTTTGCATATGTGGCAAATAAATAGACTTAAGTCCATAATGACATAGACAAACTCAAGCTAAAAAAATCTAAAATCTATCCAATGCAAAACAAAAATATACTAGGTCTAGAATACTAAACAACCAATAAAAATATAGTAATAATAAATGCATAAAAAAATGTGTTTTCCCTATTAAAAAGAAAAAGAAATTATGAACAATTAATGACTAAGTGGGTTTGCACTTGGGTCCAAAATAGACCCAATTGTGGACTTAGTCTCTTTTTCTAGTGCCACATAAGTTAGACTATGTCCATTTTTAATTACATTGTGAAATTTTTTTTTATAGACTAGATCTATTTCCTACATGGCATGTGATTTTTTTAAGAGACCCAAAACACTGTGAGTGCTCTTAGGGGGTTTGGCATGACAACAAACCACCTACTACTTCTCTTGATGCTCCCACGCTAGAACTCACCACCGCCAACTCAATTCCAATCGCTTTTGTAGAGTCATGTCCGATTCCATCTCCAAGGTAAAGCTGTTGTATGGGCTCCTAAAAATCAATCGCCCCGTGGGGCCCTTCCTGAAGGTTGTTCTCGGTCTACTTGAGCTTAGGTACCTCGACCTCTGGTTCAATGACTTCGAGGGGCCTATTCCCATCAAGCTGTTTGAAAAGCTGCCCGACGCCATATTCCTCAACAGCAAAAGGTTGTATTCGCCACGGAAAACTTTGGGAATTCGACGACCTCGGTGGTCGTGCTGGTGAACAACAAGCTAATTGGGGTGTCCCGAGAAGCATCGGGAACATTGCCAAGAACAAGTTTAGGAGTGACGTTCTGGACAATGTACTCTGCCGAGCCTCAAGAACTTTTACATTTCGTACAACAATATTGATGCCAAGGACCAAGCTTGCTATTCCAATGTGGTGACTAGACTTTTGGTCGTGGATAAAGAGAATTGTTTCTTGCACGGGAGAAGAAGCAAAGGTTGGGACAGGAATGTCAAACGGTTTTGAGCGAGAAGGTGGACAGTGAAGCTACTGGATGCAGAATGCCCACGAGTAGGGGAGCATCAAAGCCTAAGCCACCTAAGAAGGGATCTCCACCAAAGGTGGAGGCGCCAAAGTATGAGCCAAATCACGAGCCTAAACCTTCGCCCCACCCAATCAAACCTTCACCTTCACAAAAACAAATGCCAAATGCTTCTCATGCGGGTTTCTTTTCCGCCAACTATTGACGGGACCTACAAGTCGACTCCACCACAAGTTGCCCCACTACCACCCACTCGTGTTTTCTCTCCACCACCACTAGTCCAATCATCGCCATTTCCACCACCTGTCCACTCTCCACCACCATTAGTGCAATCACCTCCTCCACAACCCGTCCATTCTTCACCTCCTCCACTACCACCCGTCAACTCTCCACCACCACTTGTCCACTCTCGATAACAACTCGACCATTCTCCACCGCGGCCAGTAAAATCACCTCCACCTCCACCACAGCACACCCATTCGTCTGGTGTAAGAGTACGATGGCTCAGGTAGCTCGGACAGCTAGAGCACGTCTCTAGCCCGAACATACGGGATAACGCGGATAGTTAGTTTATTACAATTCATTAAGGAGCTCGGACAATTTAGGTGTGCATGTAGCTCGAACATTAAGGAGCTTGGACAATTTAGATGTGCTGGTAGCTCGATCATTAAATAACTCGGACAACTTAGATGTGCCTATATCTCGGTCATATGACAACTCGAATGTGATAACAGGTAAATCTCTCGGACATGAAATAGATTGATCAACACAGTAGGCCGAGCCTAAGCTGCTAACAAAGGACATGTATGGGGTCTAAACAAAAGCGATAGATGGTGTGACGAATTAGAAGTAAGCTAAACAACTGACAAACATACCTACGAGTAGCCTAGTAAGTGACGGGCAGCCCCTTGGGCAATGCGGGCACCCGGGCGGGCAGTCGGGCAGGAAAAAGCTGGTTCAATAAAGCCCATGATTCTCTATGTAGGACATTCCCATATGGAGCAATTTAATTGGGTGTTGGCTTCATAAGGGAGCCAACCATTGGCTCTATAGAAGGACTATGCTTTTAATATCACCTTCACAACTTAAAAATATCTTCCGATAGAGCCGCACATCAATTTTAATAATTCAAAGATACTAGTACAACGCCGTGTATTACACGGGTGCTTGCTAATTGTTCTTAAAATTTAAAATTAATGAGAAAAAATAGTTGAAAATTTAAATACCTTTTATAAATATATATATATATATATATATATATATATTATATATCTAGTATGACATTTTTTATTTGTGCGACATACTTGTGTTATATTATAATTTTTTTTAACTTACAACATATAACTACATTAAACATTAATATATCAATTGAGAAATAATTTTATTTTTCTAATGAATTTTAATAAATAGTATTATTTTTTTATTATGATAAAGATAAATATAATTTATTTATTTCATATATACAATATGGATGTCAAATTGAAGATCATCAAAAGTTGATTAATTTGATATATTATATATGTAAAACTGATAACAAATAAACAAGTTATCAACTTTTAAAATACATTTACCATTCAATAGCTAATTGAAGGAAACAAATCAAAAGTCAGTGATATATTAGTCACTTAATGTTTCACTATGTAAAATTACAAGGAATTAAAAGGTTATATTAGTACAAGTGATAATAAAATACCTAAGGGGGTGATTGTTTACAAAATAATTGACTCACTTTTATTTCAACTCAAAATCTAACTCAACTTTAACCCAACTCCACTATCTTTAATATTATTCATATAATTAAATAATACAAACCAATCATTCTTACACATCACATTAACTTTAATTCACTATTCATTCACTCACATAATTTTAACTACCTATCATTTCCAACATTTATCTCTTACTTTTACATCAAATCAATTTTAATTATTTTATTTAAATATTATTTTATTACATTCTTAAATTTTCACTACAACTAACCATACCACATTTTTCAAAATTAACCGTAGTTAACTAAAATAACTCAATTTGAACAAATTATTTCATAAACAATCAAGCCCTAAATTAGCTAAATAATATTTATAGAATGCCCGAACCTAGATTATTAATTATTAATATATAAATATTATTTGTCCAAACCTAATTACGAACTATGATTCTTCGTCAAGTAGGATTCTGAAGCACTAGAATCAGCCACGTAGGGTTAGCGCATTCGAGAATTATATACAGGTCCCACGACTTACTGTCCACCGCACGCACAGTGGCTCAACTCGCCAGAATCTAGCGTCCTCTGATTAACAGAGGTATGAATCTCTCCCCGTCCGCACGCACAGTGGCTCTACTCGCCAGAATCTAGCGACCTCAATTCACCGAGGTATGAATCTCTCTCTCATGGTTTACAGATTTACAGATTATGGACTTATGCGAATTGTATGATTATATGTGCTGGTAATTGATGTTCTTGCTTCTACTCATTTTTTAATTGCCTAATTTCATGGGTTGTTGATTAATTGGTTGTTTCTGGATGCAAATCTAGTTTCAGATTTATAATTGATAACCTATGTTAAAG